GTGTGTGTGTGTGTGTGTGTGTGTGTGTGTGTGTGTGTGTGTGTGTGTGTGTGTGTGTGTGTGTGTGTGTGTGTGTGTGTGTGTGTGTGCGCGTGTGTGTATGTATATATATGCTTAGTATTCCCAAACTATTCACAAGTGACAAGTATTGGCTTTTCCAACATAGAACATTAAAAATTTTCAGTAGATTCAAACTAAGATTGAAGAAACTGAATGAATACACCCAAACTAAAGTGTGGAACTTTCATTTGCTGTAGGAAAAGAAAATACAATAGGAAAAAAAAAAAAAAAGACTGATTTAAGTTACGAATTCAACAGTTCAGTAAACAATAACTAGATCATCACAGGAATAAAAGACAAATATTTAAGGTACTTTTACAAATTCAATACAAAAACCCTAATAGACTTAATAAAAGGACAAGATTCAACCTTTTCTCAATAAACACAAATCATACTGCAATAAGAGAACCCAAACAAGAATGAAAATACAAAAAATTAATATCCACAGAAAAAAGATTTGTTCAACGAAAAGGATTTTGTTACTTTTTCTTCAAAAACTAAAATTCTTGGTTTAAAAACTAATTGCTAGAAATCTTGCAAAATTTATTTCTAGTTTTGAGGAATATGTACTTCAGATCAAGTCTTTATAAAACCATGAAAAGTGTTCTTTTTCATAATACAAGAAATTTTGACTCTTATTTAATTTTCTAAATGCATCCACAAACACTTTGATAATGTTAGGTTTGTTTTGAATTTTGTGCAAACTAAAAGAGAGCTATCTGCACTAGCCATCCCTGATTTAGCAGTGATAGACTAGAGGGAAGGCAGCTAGTCAACACTGCCAACTGTTGGGCTACTTTTTTTTCCAACAAATATCAGGATTGACTGTCACATTATACTGCCCCCACAGTTGAAAGGGTGAGCATGTTTGACAACAGGGATTCAAACCCGCAGATTGCGAGTCAAATGCCCTAACAACCAAGCCATGCCTTTGATAATGTTAATCACCAATTGTCGTACTTTCTTTCTAAAAAATACTTTTACAAATTATTAGGCTCAACTTCAAATAAGCTTGTAGTTCAATGTTTCTTAATTACCTAGAATGTTAATTCTTTAACTAGAACAACAACAACATATTTTAAATAACCTATGACACTGACAAAGTAGACAATTCATAAATTACTAAGATTATGATCTTATTCATACATTGTATTACAAAAGCAGGTCTAGATAATTTTAAACTGAAAACAAATCCTAAAAGTTGAATCATACTTTAGTCCAATCCCAATGTTTAACAAACACAATATTGAATAAATTATCACAAAAGAATTTAACAATTTCACTAAAAGCTTACAATAAGAGGTATTTGGTATTTTCAATACATCGGCTAAGTGGCACAATTAGAGACTCCTATGATTTAGGTATAGGTGACCTTTATTCTGACTTGAGGGAGTGCAAAAGTTAGCAGCATCAATATCAAGACTGACAGTCACTTTTATAAAACACACCCAGAACTAAAAGTGTGGAGTCTGTCCAGTTGCATATCATGAATTATAACCTTGGACCTTCCAATCTACATCCCACCACTCTAACCACAAAGCAACAACCAGCCTGTTAAATAAATAGAAGCAATAGTTTGCTTGATCATATGATGAATAACCTCCAAAACATATCTGTAACCAATATATCATTCTGATACTTTAAATATTATACTAAATAATTTTAAATCTAAATTTGTAACTGTCACTGTAGGTAAAGAACATCCAGCTCCTCATTTAATTGGCAAAAAATGTTACCACTTATATAATGACAAAGAATACCACTAACAAAATAAAATGCAACAACCATTTCTAAACTTTTGTGAAAGGGGTAGTATTTTGAAATTTCTTGAAGGTAATTTAGTACATTGCATTCTAAATTACATGCAATTTCTTTGGATTCAAGACTAGTTTTGTAATTTGTTCACATGTATTTATTAGCTTAACAGTGTTAAATGACCTAATGGATACTACATAAAATACACTCCAGTCACAAAATGAGAAATATATTTTGTATCATACAAAAAAAAAATGCCTAGATACAAAAAATGCTATTTTTTTTAAACATTAATATCATTCTACACAACTGTTTTTAGTACTTTATATGCTGGTCTACTTTACTAAGTATTACATAAAATTAACAGGAAAACATTCAAAAACATTTGATTTAAACAATGTCTGTAATTTTTAAAGTTCTTAAAAATATGCATTTCTAATAGTTACAGTTTTCACATTTTACAAACAAAAAGACATTTCACTGAATTCCATTTAAAGATGAATTCTACACATATATCTACATTTTTAAAATTAAACTTTTATATGTATATGTACATTTATCCAACAAAAGTCAAAATGGTGAAAAAAAAGTACATACCTACATTTAATACTGCTCAACATTTAGTTACATACATATATCAAATTCTAAAAATATTCTTTACCACTAAAATTCACAACAAACACACAGACTACAATTTCCATCAGTTCATTGCATATCATCTGCAGAATCAAATACATTTCAGTTAAATGGAAAAAAAAAGTATTAATTCCTTTAATATCTAGGTTTGAGAAATTGTGCTCAAATATAACATTTTACATATAGTTGCCAAAACATGTGTAATAAAATGTTCATATACTACTAAAAATAAAATAAAATGTTCATATATTCATTGATTCTGTACCAAAAATTGTAACTTTCTGACAAAATTATATTCACACTTGGACTAAGTTCTCCAGTGGTCACTAAAACTATTACTTCAAAATTCTGATTTTCAGACCTTAATTTATGTCACAATGACATCTAAAATATCTCTCTGATTTCTTTATTGTTTTGAACTTGTGCAACATGTATTTTCATTAGGTGAAAGGTACAGAACAAATGTTTAAGCCACTCCAATTTGTATGTTTTTGATGTTTCCTTAATGCACACATATATCTGAGTTGACTTCATTGTGCAAACTTAAAAATATAGATTATGAATTGAAATGGACAAAACATAAACACACATAGTTGACAACTATAACAGTGGTCCAAACAACATTCACAAAGTTTACATTTAATCTTTAAAAAAAAAGTTCAATTTTAGTTATCATTTTCATAGAATAAATGACTGATTAGCAATAAAAAAACTAAATATATAATTATTAAAAGGATAAGGAATTACTACAGCACACTTTTTCTAACCCTTATGCAAGCTTGAGACATTCATTTCCTTCCTTACACTGTTTATTGATTGGTTTTCTTTATCTACATTACAAATTTTTTTTCCCCATTATTGGCCACTGACATGGTATTATTTTACATCACATTTTCTGTAAGATTGATCTACAAGACACAGGACGAAATTTCCACTACTTCCTATTTTCCACACTTTAGTTTGTCTAGGTATGTTGATAATATTTATATTTATCATAAATTCTATCCATTGGATTTAACAAATTATTTCCTCCTAAATGAGACTTTACCAAGGTGGGGTAATCTGTGTGTCTCTATGACCTATAAAGCTATGCCAGTAGAAGTTTATACTGCTAGTAGGGTCATCGAAGCTAGGTAGGTCAAAGGGTAGAAGCCAGTCTCCTGGCCTTCTAGGTTGGGGGTTGGGTATCAGGCTAACAATCTCATTCCAGGAGGTAGAAATATTACAGAAATGGCAGTAAGTAAAGACTACAGCCAGCTGTTCAAGGGCTTCAGAGCATGTCGCTCACATGACTGGTGGCAGTGAAAGCTGACAATGTGACTACAGGTGCCTTTAGTGGCAAATCAAAGGTCAAGATAGGTTTCTGGAAAGTCAGGACAACGCACACCACTGGTAAACTAGCACAGGTTACCAAAGAGCTGAAGGAATACAAGCTTCACATCCTTAGCATCAATGAGTGAAGGAGGACTGGACACAAGTATCAGAAGACTCATTCCAGGGAAACCATGTTACATTCTTGATGCACTAACTATCATAAACCATGAGAGTACTGCACTCATTCTAAAGAAAAGGATCTAGAAGACACTTCTAGAATAAAAGTCCATCAGTGAAAGAATGTTGAAGGGCAGGTTCAATGGCAAAATTGTCAACATGACTGTGATAATGTTATGCTTTAATCACTGACAATGAACTAATAATAATTAAAAAAAAAGACTCCTTCTATCACAGGCTATAAACAGAAATAGAATCTACATCTTTCCATGATCTACTCATCATCATGGGAGATCTAAATGTAAAAGCATGATCAGACAGTACCAGTAATGTAAGTTTGATCTCTGAAATTGTTTTCTCTAAAGAAAGAAAAAAAAATAGAGGGAAACTGACTGAAATCATTAAGATTGTTAAAAAAATTGTTGGGTTGATGTAGTCTCTTTTTTCATACTTAATGATGAGAATGGTAAGACTAGGGGACACAAATATAAACTTTGGCAAGATAGGAGTCATCTTTACTAAACCAGTTTTATTTTTCTAACAGGGTTGTTGGCCTTTGGAATGAGTTGCAATACATTTAAGGAAGTTTAAACTAATACTTGGTAAGTATTTGAATGATAATGACTGGCTTTGAGTTTGTTTTGTTTTTAAATGGATGGGACAACCTAGATGAACCAATAGGTCCCTTGTTGTACTTAAATTTTATGCTATGTTTTAACGGGCATCCATGGATGAAGCACCATGAATGACAATGTTGAAAGACTTGTCAACCTCTGAGGTATTAACATAAGAGGCACTTTGTTCTCCCACAAAGACATTCACAAGATCATATGACTCTCATGAACAGAAGAGTTAAGAATCAGATTGACAAGTGGATGTGGTCCCTGCCAAGTTTAGAGAGATGGAGACATGGGAGGTGAACACCTCCTTGTTGTAACCTCTGTTAATCTGAAGCTCAGGACAATACATGGGCACGTGAAGAGAGACAGATGTGTGAAAACTGAAAGATCCAACTGTGAGCATGAGCTTTACTCTGCAGTGGAAGAATAATTTTAAAGCCCTGGAAGATAAGGAGAAAATGGAAAATGGAGACAACATTATAGCTATGTCCTCCATCAACTGTGAGCAGGAAAAGCTTTTAAAGACTACCATAAGATCAGCATCTCCCTAGGCTACAAGTAAAGAAAGCACAAGGAATTGCTGAGCACAGAGACATGGAATGTCATCCCAGAGAAAGAGAACAGCTGAAAAACAGAATGACAGAGGTCAAAGTGGGTCAAAGAAGGATACCAAGAATTGTGCAATGCTACAAACCAGCATGTAAACAGGTCAGAAATCAACACACCGCTATGTCCTCCATTCATGATAGGCAGGGCAATCTGTTCACATCTGAAAAAGATCAGAAAAGAAGATGGGCTGATCACTTTCAGGGAATTCTCAACAAGGAAGATCCAGGGGAACCTGCAGAAGTGCAAGAGGCCCAGGAAGGTTTAAACATCAACACAGAAAATCCAAGAAGTATAAAGATAATGGAAGGCATCAGAAGAATCAACAATGGAAAGGTATCAAGTCCCAATCAATTTAATGCAGAGCTGTTCAAAGTGGATCCAAAAATAGCTACAACCACTCTTCATCAAAATCTAGAACCAAGAAGAAATACCATCAGAATGGAGCACGGTATAATAATGGAGATCCCCAAGAAGGCAATCTGAGAGACTGACACAACATCACCTTCTAGTCTATCCCCAGCAAGATCTTCTACAAGACTAACATCAAGTGGCTCTCTGCTGCAGTTGATTGTCTCCTGAGAAAATAACAGGCAGGATTCAAGAGGAAGCACTGACCATATCTTTGCACTAAAGAACATCATCAAACAGTGCAAAGTTTGGTAAAAACAGTTTTAAGTTTGTGGAATTCAAGAAAGCACTTGATAGTATATACAGGCAGAGCCTCTAGAAGATCCTCAAACATCATTCTTACATTGCATTCTATTCTTGATCAAAACAAAATTATGAGACCAGACTCTTCTGTGGTATAGTTTCTAATGAGATAAAGATATGTTACATGTACTTCATAAAATAGTTTCCATTCCTTTTTTTTTCATTCCAGTTTTAAAAATACAAAAAGGTAATTATTAAGTTGGAAAACTTGACAATGTTACAGTCTGATTACAAAGACACATCTTAGAGAACGAATGACCTACCAAAGCAAGATTCCATCTTTGACCCTCTCATACAACATCCGTCCTTCTAGGTCAATGGGCAGTAAATGCTGTAGGTCTGAATCCATACCAAGATTGCTGCAAATTAAAAAACATAATATAGCATAAAACTGCTTTGAGAAATCTGTCACAAATAAACATCATGAGACTGACATGTACCTCAGATATTTTATGGGTAAAGCCAATATTTACATGCTGTTTATCATACATTTCCAGTTATACTTTAAGATCCTTATCAATATTCACACACTACATTTATTCAGAAACGTGGGAATAGGAAATCTTAAGTTTTCCTTTGCCAAGTTGAACATACCAAAATATAAATCTTAATATTTCTACTTATGAATAATCAAGGGTAAATCTATTGTCTTTGCTTATTGTAAACCAACAAATCAATCTATGACTGTCTCTCAAGTTATCAATCAATCTACAAAGGGATATGTTTATTGTATGATTTAATTTCTGTTCTCTTTATAAATTCCACTTAGTACATCAGTCATGCTTAAAATTATGATAAGTATGTTTTCAACAGTTTATTATTTCAATTACCATTACTTTCTTGTGAATCATTACAAACTGATCATACCATTTACTCCCCCTCTTTTTCTTTGGCAATGTCGGACTATAAGTACTTTTCTTCAATAGTACTCAACTGAAAATATATTTCTTAATAATTTCTAACCTGTTTATCCAATCGGAAAAAGCCACTTGTTCTTCGTGCCGAACTGAATGCGTGGTGCCTTCACTTGACGCCTCTGACATACCACCAAGTGTCTGAAGATTTTCACGTTTAGAAACAACTGTTTTGAACTGGCTTGAAACATCTTTTGACTTGAGATCAGTGTACAGCTGAAAACAAAGAATATTCAATGTACATTTAATGACTTTGTGTGTGTGCATGCGTGTCAAAAAAAAAAAAATTATTTCATAGTACTCAATTTTTCTATGTAATTTATTCAACAGTAAATAATTTCATCTATAGTTCAATAATTCAAAAATTTTCCTTAGCTAAAATAAATATACAACCTTGAATATACACACATATGTGAAAAAACCACTGTAATTAAGATCACACATACATATAGATCTTATGATAAAACATTTTTCTAATTTTAGTGTGAATACTTAGTAATATTTGAAGTACTTGAATAACATATGCGGAAATCTGAGTAATGTTAGGAAGATAAATATATTTTGCTATAATGCATTCAGCTATTCAATGAAGTCCACTACAAATTAAAAAAAAAATTAGAAGCATAAATGTTATTATGGTTTGAAAAATATAAGTTCAATGACATTCCAAACGTACTATGCCACTGGGTCACATGTATGTTTCACAAGTCCTATTAAGAGAAAACATGGTCATTTTAATGCACTTCACTTACACTACCTATCCTAGATGTATTAATTCTATGACTTGAGATCTGATCATTTGCTCCTTTGCCTGTTTTGGCAATTACTTCAGTTTTGGTTACTGTTTTCATACATCTATGTGTTAATGTTACACACTAGTGGCAGGTAGAGGCTTTTGACACGAGGTCACATTGTCAGTGACTGATGTTCACCTACTGACCAGAAGTATGTGCCACATAAGCAGAGATTGTAAGAATGCTGGAAGTGAAAGCGCATTCCCACTGGTATCTCTTTCTTTCTTTTTACAACTTGTCCCAATTTACATCCAGAGAAAGCTTTTAAATGTGTGAAAGTAGCATCTTTGCCTTTAAATCTCTGTTAAATGTTACTCCTACCCAAAATATTTGTTAGCAATATCTAACATCAAACCAATTACTTTTTTCATGATGACAAGGGCAACTCGGAAAATATTTAACTATTTGTAATGTACAAAATATCATGAATAATTCATCCATGGTTTAAATTAGTGAACAAAACCTTTCTGTACCATGAATGCTAACTTTTCTGTCTCTCACAAAGAAATGATACAAACCATTAAATAATTGAAACGCTGGATGATGGAAAAGACAACTAAGCATTTTGCTCTCAGAGTATTTAAGCCCAACAGTACTCCTTCTCCCATAGATATATAATTTAAAAAACATGACTTTCAAAGTTTCCTATAATAAATTTATGTTTACTTCACAAATTTTCCCTATTGGAATAACTTCTACAAGAATGAGTGGCTAATCCAAAGAAATAAAACATTGAAATAAAATATCATAAACTAAAACTCTGATAGACATCCACAAATGACATTGGTTCATGGCTGGTCATGGTGCCTGGTCATGTATGGAGTAACACCTATATGAAATGCCACAATGGCCAAGAAATAGTGACTCATGTCATGTCAGGCCTCCAGACATTCTTACAAGCAAAGAGGAGTTCATTTATAAGTGATTTTTATCTGTTTGCACTCTGTAATAAATCATCAATCAAAATTTTATTGTTATACTTTTTTACATTTAGTATGAGTCTTCACTTTTTAATCTACAGTGATCCTTGGGCATATAGCACATGATGACAAAACAATGTTGTTCTTTCTAGTTAAAATGTAGAAAGTGAATCTCTTCTGACCAGCTACAAGGTGGTGATGTAGTTTGGAATCATTAAGAATTAACAGAGATTTTTTTTTACACTGCCAAAAGGAGTCTTTTACAATTAGCCTTCAATTAGGAGCAAACTACTACCATGCATAGTACTTAATGTGTTTTGGCACGTCACCATTCACTCTCTGTGTAAGAGTTTTACCTCACCTAAGAGTAAGTTATTGTTAAGTTGTTTTTTTTTGTTTTTTTTATTATTATTATTATTATTATTATAAGAGTTAGAACATAATCAGTTACCATTGTTTTTAGTCACGCTTTCTATCCTTTACTTTTGTTGTTTTCAACAGTATGGCTTCAGATATTCTGATTATACTCTTAGTTTAACTTTACTTCTGTAATGATATGCCCAACTGTAAACTCAATAGCTTTGTTTACAGTACAAAGCATTTGTCAGATGTATAACATACAGGTTTTTTTTCTGCTCTTATTAAGTTAAACTTGACTTAACTTAGATTTAGTGGACATAGTGACAGACACGTAACCATCATTCTTATAACAGCAGAAATTCATATCTAAAATCACAATGTAAAAACAAATTTACACAGTGTGCTTTGGCAAAAGTAATATAGTGAGTTAATGTGTAAGCATTCTTTGTAGATAACATAATCAACTAGTGTTGCCCTTGCAAAAGTTGCTATATATAAAACAAAAGAGTTAAAATAAATCTAGGTTATAATGTTTGCAACATATCTGGTTCTGGTTCTTTTCATCAACACTCTTAGTTGAACACACTTTAACTATTTTTTTTGGACCAATCCTAAACCTGGCTTATTGCACTTAAGTTACTGGGGTGGACATCACACACTAAAATGAAATCAAGTTTATTATGGTATAGTGTATCTTAAAATAAACAAGCAGACATATGTTTTCTCTGAAAAACTGGTTGCAGGAGGAAGCTTTTTTTAATCTGCTGTATAACAGTACTTACCCTAGATTGTCAATACCAGATTATCAAACCCTACACTGCAAAATGACATATATAGGACTTCTACATCATATATATATGCTTCAATAATGAGATTATTTATGAACAACACTACACACACACACATACATACCTTCTGAAATTCTTCAAAACTTAACTGTCCCTTTTCTTTGTTGAAATTCCTTCGGTCCAGTTCATCAATCATTTGTCTAACTTGCCACTGGGGGATCTTGAAACCAACAATGTCTAATGCTCTCTTTAGTTCACTCATGTCAAGGTAACCATTGCCATCTTTGTCAAGCTGTAATAACCAAGTTCAGTAAATATCCAACTATAAAAACCATATTTAACAATGAGGTATTATGCAACTTTTGAGCAAAATATTCTGTCATTATTAGCATGTACTCCACATCATCATTAATTTAAAACAAAGATTATAAAACATATTACAAACAAACTCTCCACTGTACACAATTTCTAAACAAGTTTTGACACTTCCCTATACCCTTTTGGTTTTCAAAGTAGAGCCACCAGTTCAAGAACTTACTCTTACTTGACCAAAAAAACAGGTTTAATCAAAAAAATCACAACTAAAAAATAAAAATAAATTTGATTGCTCAAACTTAATTAATGTTCCTCTAAAAACAGTAAAGAAAATGGAGTATAAGTGTTTAACTTTACCATTGGTGCAACGTTTACTAAATTATACTAAAGAAACACTGCATTGAAACAGCACACTGTTATCATGGTTATAGTATTTTTCTGTTTTATAAGAAGAAATTTACTAAAAACATTCTACTTGTGTAATTTTAAAAGTGTAATTGTGTTTACGAAATACACTGGCCACTTATTCTCTTCTTGGATAAGTGATAATAAAGAATAAATTGACACATCTAAATCTAAACTTTTTACAGTATTTTGTGTGACTTTTGAGCAGACACACTTTATCGGGCACTAACGACTGTGTTACAAAGGAATTAGGCTAGAAATAATCGTTAAAAGATAAAATAATACAAAAGGCTCTAATTACACAGGTTTAATATGGAGCATAGGTAACAAAAGTACTGATAAAAATGTTGTTGAACTTACTACGTAAACTGGATTTAAAGATAATAAGCATAAATATGGCAAATAATAAAATATGGAAATAATTATGGGAAGGAGAAGATTTAATTTTGTTTTAAGCATAAAATTCTTACATTTGCATTTAGTAAAATGAACTTTGTACAGTCTCAGTTCACCTTACGCTGTCTGCTGAGTTTTACTTTAGTTATGCAAAATAAAAAAAATTAGCCTTTTTGTTATTACATTTACTGATACAAACTGCACATGACTAAAACAATATCCTGAAGGACACTTCTAGCAGTGCCTGGCATGGCCTGGTGATTAGGGTACTCAACTTGCAATCTGCAGGCCACAAGTTCGATTCCTGCCACTGAACATATTCATCCTTGCAAGCCGCAGGGACATTATAATGTGATGGTAAATTCAACTTTTCTGTTGGTAGGAGAGCAGCCCAAGAGTTGAAGGTGGGTAGTGTCAACTAGTTGCCTTCCCTCTAGCCTATCACTTCTAAATTAGGGATGGCTATATAGCCAGCTTTGTGCCAAATTCAACAAACAAACACTTCTAGCTGTCTCTAGAATATTAATGATGTATACCATAGCTTAAACTAAACTGAACCACTGTAAAACTTTAAAGTTCTGACTCGTACTTAATTATTACTTCTAGCAGCAGAAGGGCATAACCGTCTATTTATCAAGGTTGACAAATTTAATACAACTTCAAACAGAACTAAAATCAAATTTATTAACAGCTACTAGTAACCTAAATTAACAGCGGTAATGTGGTTAAAATTAAATACGACTTCATGATAGTGGGTCAGCTAGCTCTGTGCAGTTTATAATAACATACTACTACATTTAATAAATTTAAAATGAATATTTTTATGGAACTATTATAATTATTTTCTCATTTTTATGGTTTTTTTTAGTATAATCAACAAGAATAAGTTACCAGTAACACATCTTAATTTCTAGTGTACGATATTTTATTGAAGTGGTAATACCAAGTTATGACATAAATATGATAGTACAGCATTTGAAAGTTCCAGGATTCGCATGGAATTGTTTCACCAGCCTGGACGGCCAGTTTATTTGTTTTTAATTTCGCGCAAATGATAAAAAACACGTTATGTGAAATTTCGCGTTAATAAGAACTTAAATGGTGTCGATAATCCCAAATAAGTTCCATGCTTCTGGTACATAAAACTATATTATTTTATCTCAAAGCTATTATTTTAAAATTATAAATATAGCATACGATTTATTGTACAATAAAGTGCAGAAATATAAGATAGTAGCAATGAAAATAACAATGAAAATTATTCACGTTGTTTAAAATGTTCCTCTAGCGCCACCTGGAAGTAATAATCTTATTACTTTAGCATTCTCCTTCTACGTCTGTCTGGACACTTGTAACGACAATATATTAAAACAAAATTTTGCCAGCATGTGTGGTGGAAAAATACGAGCCCGGAATCTCAGGGTCACTTTCCATATATGGATATGTTACTCACTCGTTTTGATTTCATATTAACTTAAACCTAAGAGGATTGCGTAAACCCTACATAGAGTAGTCAGTGCATTCACTTGATCGCATTATTATAGCTATAACTATTAATGAGATAGCACCTGGTGGGGAATGTTAGCCTTACGTCATCTCAACATTTACGCACACTAAAAGTACTTATCACAACGGGCGTAACTTACGGCTGAAAATATCGTTAGCAGTGCGCGTACGCAACTGAAAAAAGAATGCATTCTAATCTTTATAAGCAGAAATGGAAGGAAATAATACTTAAGTAGCTAAACTGATGGCCAGGTTGATTTTTAATTTCACTCAAGTACACTGACCGGAAATTATTATTATTATTATTTACAACTGTAACAGAAGTGAACATTTGAGTTTCCTTTCCCGTTCACAAATTACAACAAGAATTCTTTATCATATTTTCATCAATACAGCTACTTCGTCTTGGTGCAAACACTTCATACCTATAAGCCAGCATATACAAGGAACCCCGTTTCTAGAAAGAAAAAAAAAGTTTCCTTAAATATGTTACTTCAAACATTGTCAGGAAACACTGTCTGGATGCTTTTCAATAAAATTATTAACTGTAGTAGGATTTGAACTTTCAGATCATTCCATTTTTTCTTAAGTCATATGACAACCTCACGCTGGGTCGCTGACCTTTCGAAATCGACCAAATGCGAAATGTTTCTTGCAATAGAAGCCAGGTTTGCTCCAGGGTTACAGCCAGATATTCCGAAAACTGAACGTTTGTTAGTTTGTTTTTTGAATTTCGCGCAAAGCTACACGAGGGCTATCTGCGCTAGCCGTCCCTAATTTAGCAGTGTAAGACTAGAGAGAGGGCAGCTAATTATCACCACCCACCGCCAACTCTTGGGCTACTCTTTTACCAACGAATAGTGGGATTGATCGTAACATTATAACGCCCCCACGGCTGAAAGGGCGAGCATGTTTGGTGGGACGGGGATTCGAACCCGCAGATTGCGAGTCGAGCTCCTTATCCACCTGGCCACGCCGGGCCTAAAACTGAACGTAAAAACAATTACACTTGTAGGCCTAATGTTCATTCAGGCTGTTATATTACATAGACAGTAGTATGTGTATGTTATATTAGAAATATAAGCCGATAACATTTTGAGGTCTATTTGTAATCATTCCTTCCAGAGACCTATATTATTGTTCCCCGTAATTAATGCTTCTAATCTTAATTCTCATAATGATAATAATTATCATATTATAGAAGCAGGATTAAAGTTGAAGGAATAACAACAGGAATAATAAAGGAAACTCCTGTAGTAGCGGAAAACATTTTTCAGAAACTCGGTTTGTCCACCTGCTCCGGAACACGTTCCCTTGTTTATGGAAACGCGGAAACAGCCACCATACGAGGAAACCTGTGAATCAAAATATTTCCTCGTGCATGCTGGCCTTCATACTGTATTATTTCTTTACTTTGCATATATATCATATCAGTCACAGAGTTAGTTTTCTTAGTGTTTCCACTGGTTTACCAAAGAATAGTAAAATCATATTAACTGGATATTTCTCCAATGTTCTCAGTATTTAATACCTTGTTTCGGATTCACAGAAGAAAAAATACTTTTGTTAAGTCATTAAAATTAATTCCACATAAATACTGAAATATTTGGTTAAGTGTATAAAGTCACAAATGCATTTTTATTGTGATATGACGTCAAACCTGCTGTCGAATGTTTGTGAAGGAGCTAATCAACATTATCTGCCTAATTTTGAGCTGGTAGACTCGAAGGAAGGCAGCGAAGCACCTACCCCCAATTCTTGGGCTACTGTTGTCTGACCAAATAGTGAAATTTCTCATTTTGATAAAGCACCTACGGGCCCAAAGTAGGCAGAACGTATCTTGTGGCAACTGGCTGCAAACCGTGAACACTCGAATACATAGTTCGGGAACGCCCAAAGCTTTTTCGAGTGTTAGTTCCAACTAGAAGCCGGGCTTGAATGTATCGTTCTCAAATTTAGCGAACAAAAATTTGAATCCCAAACAAGTAAATATCAATACAGTTTACCTTGACAATTTGTGGATGAAAATGTACGTTGCAAGTAATATTACTTACTGTTTTCGATGCCTTAGGTTGTGTTTAAGAATGCCCTTTAGATTCTTAGATTTAATATACTTTCAAAACTTAAAAAAGCCCTCTCACTTGTCTTAACTACGTAGAAATAGAAACATTACAACACACGAGTTACGGCCAGCTCTTGGGCGACTCGTCTTGTCTGATAGTGAGATTTGACTGTCACTCTTATAGAATACCCGCGATTCCAAAGTGAGGAGTGTTTTGTTTCGGCAAACGGGTCGCGAACATTAATATTTTGATTTATACAGTCCGGAAACACTAAACACAATGCTACGCCTGGTCCACATGATAAAGTATAATTCAATTATAACTTTTACAAAACTAAAAAACAAATTGTTCAAAACGTTAAAGGCACCGAGATCACGTAACAAAGGTTACTTTTATGAGAAAAGGCTAAATCCTGTCGCAGCTGATGTGAAACCGGTATGATAAGTTTTCTTCAAAAAGAAAAAACTAATTTACGATACAGATGAGGAGTTAAAGCCTGCTTCCTTTGCTACTTTGTATAGAAAGACGTATTATATTATACGTTAACGTATAAAGATAGTGACAAGTAGATCAGTTTGATGGAACTCTTTCTCCGAAGCTCCCTCCG